GGCGGGAGAGCTGCGATCGCAGCCGCTCCGCCATGCCACCCTCAGCTGCGGTTCCCTCCAGCCGGGAAAGCAGCAGCAGAGAAAAATGGGAGGCAGGGATAAGAGAGGCCGGTTCTATTTTGGGTGGATGAGAGGAAGGGGCTTGTGCTGAGGAGTGGGGGGGACAGGGTGATGCTGGGAGAGGAGAGGGTAAGGGAATTGGAGGCTAGAGGGGGGAGGGAGAGGTGCTTGGAGAAGACTTGAAAGAAGGGGTGGGGCATGAGGAAGGCAGCAATGGAGCAAGTCATGTGTGAGGGCACAGGGGCATGAGGGGAATGAGGGTAGTGAGGGGGTGGGCATCAGGGAAAAAGAGGGCAAAGGGGGCAGGAGCAGTGGGAAGGGGGAGGCACCAGGAGGGTGCAGGGGTAAGGGAAGGTGCAGGTGCCAGGAGATTCTGGGGGTGAAGCAGAAGGGCAGACGCCTGCAAGGGAGGGACCAGCACCAGAGGAGAGAGGCAGGACAGGTGTGTAGAGTGAGAGCAAAAAGGTTTTCTGTACTGTTAATAAATAAAATAAAATAAATTTTAAAAATATTTTTTTATTTCATTTCATCTTTATCTCATCCTTTTCTAATTTCTATTTTTTGTGTATGTTTTATAATGTAAGTAAAATATTAGTACAGTAGTACATGTATTTAATTTACAAACAAACAAACCAATATTGGGGGGGGTGTGCTCAAACTTTTTTACTGATAGGGGTGCGCGATCAAAAAAGTTTGGTGACCACTGCTCTATACTGCTGCTTTTTGCCAACATAGTGTGGGCCGGCAAAATGCAGCAGCCATTTTTATGCAAATTAGGCACGGGATATTTAAATTCCCGCCTCATTTGCAATGTCCACCTGCCTACGCTGCATCCCTCTGCCAACAGAGGGATGCAGTCTAGACATACCCATACAGACTTGCATGAATGCAAATAGTGTGAATTAAGAACAGTTTAGTTATTTTGGTGCAAGTTTGTTCGTATGTAAACCAGACACCTCCAAGACAAACCTAGTCTCTCTGCTATCAGAATTTATCCTACTTAGATGTGGCAGACATTGGGAACACATAACTAGTTAAAAACCAGCATCCAGTACACTTTCAGGCAATGTCTAGACAACAAAGATAAATCTAATTTACTTCCGAAAGAGGCTTTTCCGAAATTTGGCCCGTCTACACAGGGCCAAATTTCAGAAAAAAAACCCTCTTGCAGAACATCCCTTCTTCCTCATAAAACAAGGTTTACAGAGATACTGACAAAATGTTTTTTTGGAACTTTTCCAACTTTTTTTGGAACAGCGGACCCATTCCTTGGTGGTATGCTGGAAAAGCTCTGCAGTCTAGACATGCCCACAGATTTCTACTTTCAAACCTTATTTAAAGTCTAAAAGTGAGCCTATAAATCTCTATTTTTTTTACTCCATATCAAAATTGAAGTAATTCTTTCAAATGAAATAATGTTACAGAATAGAAGGAAATAGATTGTATGCTTACCTCATCTTTATCTGCTTCTTCATCAACTTCATACACATGAACAGGAAGTTTCTCTGATTTGGTCCCTTTACTAAAGTGGGGAAAAAAACCCTTCTTAATACTCTGATAATTCAGTATTCAACCTTTTACAATTATTCTGAAAGGAAAATATAAATCACATTATTATTAGGTGGTAATATGTGCTTCTTGGTGGAACAAAATTCACCGAAGCCATTTTCCACAGTTGCATTTTCTCCTTTATGCACAGATTTCATATTGGTATGGGGAGAATTGCCCTTGGATTGAGTGTTTGCCTCCTGCTGTGCCATAATTTGAGGAGAGGCTAAAGAGACTGGGACTTTTCAGTTTAGAAAAGAGGAGACTGAAGGGGGATATGATAGAGGTCTATAAAATCATGAGTGGTGTGGAGAGGGCAGATAAAGAAAAGTTATTTATTAGTTCCCATAATAGAATAACTAGAGGACACCAAATGAAATTAATGGGTAGCAGGTTTAAAACTAATAAAAGGAAGTTCTTCTTCACACAGCGTGTTGTCAACCTGTGGAACTCCTTGCCAGAGGAGGCTGTGAAGGCTAGGACTATAATAGAGTTTAAAGAGAAGCTGGATAAATTCATGGAGGTTAGGTCCATAAAAGGCTATTAGCCAGGGGATAAAATGGTGTCCTTGGCCTCTGTTTGTCAGAGGCTGGAGAGGGATGGCAGGAAACAAATCGCTTGATCATTGTCTTCGGTCCACCCTCTCTGGGGCACCTGGTGCTGGCCACTGTCGGCAGACAGGATACTGGGCTAGATGGACCTTTGGTCTGACCCAGTACGGCCATTCTTATGCTCTTATGTAATTTTCCCTTCTATTCCACTATGTGTTTGAAACAGGGATTTAGAACAAGCTATCAGTCATTAACTTTCAGATACTGTATCTGCAATTTAATTCCTGAATGTACGTTATAATGATTAATCATGTTGTTTTTCATTTGGATCAAGCAAGAACCATATTTGAGTTTCCACAAGTTCCAGTATGTTTATTGCAACTTTGGAGGCAATTACAGTCTTTGCTGGATGGTGGTAGATGATGTTTATTCAGTTGTTAGGGTCAGGACAATAGGTGGGGAGGAGCATAGTGTAACAGATATGCATGCAGTATTTGTAAGGACCATGTTGTATTAAGTTTATGAATGTTTTATATACCATCGTGGGCCAGATACTGTCTATTCCAGTATGTTTATTGCAACTTTGGAGGCAATTACAGTCTTTGCTGGATGGTGGTAGATGATGTTTATTCAGTTGTTAGGGTCAGGACAATAGGTGGGGAGGAGCATAGTGTAACAGATATGCATGCAGTATTTGTAAGGACCATGTTGTATTAAGTTTATGAATGTTTTATATACCATCGTGGGCCAGATACTGTCTATAACACAGCTCCTCCAGGAATTAAAATCAGTGGAGGTGATTACTAGGATCCCAAGATCTAGAAAAGTACCAGTGCCTAGGTTGGTTTCCAGATACTGATTTCATGCAGTCCCAGAGGAGTGGCAAGAGACAAGTGAACTTCATTTATAATCATTATAAAGACTGAATTAAACAGATTCTGTGATTTAGTCAGACAGCCTTATGTGGGCCCCCTCAGTGAACTGTGAGATGGAAGTGCAGCCAAAAATTTCTGTAGGGAACGGACATACGTCACTGCCCATAGAGAGGTAAAGGCTAAAGGCTAGAAATCTGAACATCATTCCTAGAGCAGACAATGGAGGTCAAAGTACAGTTACTCCAAAACTGGTGCATATTTTCCAAAATAGTTAGAGTCCATGTGTAACTGGGACTAAGATTGTGGGAGAATGCCTAGGTCTGTCTCAGTGAGAACTCCAACCCTCTCTGAGACCCTATGCTTCAAAGGTTACATTATTTCTCATTCTTCATTTACTTATTTAATTAAAAAAAGCATATAACACTGCAAGCTCTGCACCATCCTTCATTTGAACTGCCTTTTTGGGAATCTTAAAGAGAAAACATGTAAGAAACATTCAACATCTTAAAGACTTTAAAGATTGGAGGCCTTCAAACAGAAATTATCAATCAATATTAATTACATTTGAGATTACTAGGGGGATGCACCCTGTGTGCTACACTCACCAACCACCCTCTACAAGTATGCTTTTAGAGGGGGGAGGAGAATGAGAAAAAAAGAACTTGGGCTATGTCTAGACTAAGCTGAAGTTTCAGAAGAGGATATGCAAATTCCTGCGCATCTCGCCTTCGAAAGTCAAAGTAGTCAGGATGAGGTTTTTTCGGCAGTCCCTCTCCCCTTTTTTGAAAAGCCACTCTCTCAAAAATTGAGATTTACGTGGCTTTTCAAAAGGGGGGGGTGTGCCAAAAAAACCCGCGTCCCAACTATTTTCACTTTCAAAAGCTCCACTTTTTAAAGCGAGATTGGAAGAAGACATCCTCTTTCAAAAACTTCAGCATAGTCTAGACATACCCTTGTAGTCCAGAAAGGATCTAGAGTTGGGGAGATGGATAAATCAATACAGTATCATTTGTCCAGAGGCATACATTTTTAAATTATTTCTTAATTAAAAAAAAAAAAAAGACTCTCAGCAAGATTCGCCTTTGTATTTTCAAAGAAAACATTCAAAATGTAAACCAATTGAGTACTTAGCAAAACACCTAGTAGACCCTTGTTGCCAACAAATCAAAAAGCATCTACTAGGGAGCTGAATCCCTTTATTCATTTGTAGATGTTAACTTTAGGTTTGAATAGCAATATTTTAACTGTAAATATTCAGTGATTTTACTGATAACTTAGAGGGAACATTCAGTTCACATGCCTTTGCACTGTTTTTATCTGCAGCAATGGATAGTGGGAAAGAGGTAGGAAATGGCAAAGGTGGCAGTTGGAGGATGTCAGGGTTGCAGAGGTAGGAGAACCACCAATTCAAGCCCCACAAAATGAAAATAAAACTTTGAAGTAGGGATGGTAATGGGTAACTGGTTACCAGGATAAGCATTACAGTTAATAGGAGATGCTTGCCAGACAACAGTTAACCAGTACTCAGGGAGCAAACAATCACGCACCCCCCCCCCCCGCCCGCTCCCCACAGCACACACAATCTGCAGGCATGGCTGGGAGCCAGCAGCCCTACAAGCGGCTAGAAGCAGCTGGGCTAGAGGAGCCCTTGCCCACCAGGGGCTCCAGCCCCTTCGCCCACCCATGTTCAATCAGTTAATGGGCTAAACTTAAGGTTTAACAAGTTAATTCATTAAATGGGATTTTATGTCCTTACATTAAAGTATATCCACCTGTGCCCAGAAAAATCTAAGGAAAAGAAGATCCTTTCATCAATGCCAAGAATAACTCTCAGATGACAGAAAACTGAGTGTACCTCCAGATATCTTCCTATTTGTCAAAACTTCCTTGACAACTTCTCAAACTTACTGGTAGTTTTGCCAATCCAAAAATTCTGTGGCATGCTGAAGATACTGGCTCAGCAAAAAGTATGCAGCAAAAGTAGTATTGTACAAGTTTTTTAACCATTTTAATAATTAACGTATACAAAACACCTCAATTTTTATCTACTTAAAGCAACACGTTTCTCAAATAATTCAGCACTGGACCACTTCAGAAAATACTACAGAGTTTAGGACCCGTTTACAAAAAAAAATTATTATTCTAATACGAAGTTGACAAGCACATGGCTTGAAACATCTGTGAGGCTCTCCACAGGCAATTTCAGGAAGAGGAATTCATATCCTATAAAACGTGTACCTACCACAAACACAGAAAAGACAAAATCCTACTTTCAAAAAAGCAATGCCTGTCTTTCATTAATACTTCTTCTCATGCAGACTTAAAAAAAAAAAGCAAACAAAAGATGTTTTGAAGTACTCTGTCTTCTTATATTGCAATACAAGTTTTAAATAACTGAATTCATTCTCAATTGAAATCATGTGTATAATTTTTTAATTATTTTATTTATTTTTAATTTATTTTTGTGGGGTGACAAACTTGTGGAAAGTTACTGAAGCTGCCATCAATGTTGAAAAGTCTGAACATTGGCATAGTAGCTTAAAACAACTCTTACCATACTTTAATTATCAGTTTTATTTTCACATTATCAATAATCCAATTTTTTTCCTCTCATTATCCCACAATTACAAAGGCAGCTTTATTATGATCATTTTTCAGATAACATTTCAACAGCTTATTTCCTCCAGGGCTAAAAAAATTAAGCAATATGAATTCCACCCTGAAAACCTCAGGCTACTAAATACTGCTATGCTAGATTATAGGTTCTATATTTTTCAATAATTTACTTTTTATTGGTCCATTACTTCATTTATATATATAAGTTTTCCTGCAACTTCAAAATCTGTAATAATATCAGATAATTTACTTACTTTGGAAGCTGTCGAAACTCTCCTGAGTAATCTTCATATTTATAATTAACAACATGCCAGTCAGAGTTGTAGGTTTTGATGCACTATTTGAATGGAAATAAATGTCACAATACACCAAACAAACAAGTTTAAATGAAAGCACTCCCTAAATACAGGTAATGGTCCTACTACTAAAATGCACATTTATTCTATGAATGATAGATTTGTTTCTTTTGTTAAATATTATCTTACCATTATGGTGAATGTTCAGATTGAGAAGCACAACAAATAAATAAATTATATATATATATACACACACACACACACACACACACACACAGAAAGAGAGACGTGTGTGTCCGTCAAGCGTGCAATTCCCCTTTGAAACGCAGCAGCTGACCCTGGGCTCCATGCAGTGCTGCCCCTTTAAGGCACCACAGTATCACTTCAAAGGGGCTTTGCAATGACGAGCCGGGGATCAGCTAGGCACTCCAACTGATCCCCGGCTCTGCTTGCACTGCCCCTCTGAAGTGCCGGAGCAGCATTTCAAAGAGGCAGCGCAGCATTAATGCATTAATTTTTTGTAAAGCTGTCATCCTTTCCTGTGTTAATCGCAGGCGTTAAACGCAGGTCAATTGACAGGCCTAATTTTTATTCAATTTTTTAATAAATAAATAAATAAATACAATCAAATGAACTAGTGGCTCATAGTAAATGCTAAAAACATATGGAACTTATAAATCCAGAAAATGATAAACTAGCCATCTGAAATAAAATCTCCTCCAAGTTCATGAGGAAAAAAAGAAGCTAAATGAAGGTAGAAACAATATGATAAAATGTCTTTAGTATATTTAGCCAAAAAAAATACATATTACCAAAATAGAAAGTTCAACTTAGTACTTTCTATCCTGGAAGAACTAAAATCTAAAGTTAAGACTAAGTATTCAATTTTATATTTTTAACCCAACTACAAGAATATTTTGAATCTGAACTGCATGCTTGCAGCTGTTGAAAAGCAATTATGTCATTCTGTTCTGGACTAGATCACAGGAAGTATCATTTTACTCCACCCATGTTGCTTTAACTACAGACTAATTTATTTTGGCTTTAGCAGAAGTAGTATAAAAAACTTCCAAGTATGTTGCAAGACAATATCATACAACACCTGAAATTTAAACATCATATGAATACATGCATAAATGTACTCCATCATATTTCCAATGCATTTGTAAACATACTTTGTAAAGTACCAAGACAATATTTACTAGGCAATAATTATTTCAGTGTGCATAAATTCGATGTTTCATTAAACCTCTTGATTTAACTCATGCACAAGCCCCCTCCCCGCCACTGCCAAATATACAGTG